GAGAATATCTGAGTTATTCACCAATGATTGTCATACAACAGTGCTGTTGCTGTGCATGTTGTTCTCCTGGTTCTGTTCACTTCACTTTGCATCATTTCATATGTCTTTCTAGGTTTTTCTGAAGACATCTTGCTTATTGCTTCTCATTACATTACATTCATATACCACTTGCATTACAATTCCATTACAATCACATACCACTACTTGTTCAGCCATTCCTTAATTGATGGGCATCCCCTCAATTTCTAATTCTTTGCCACACAAAAAGAATTGCTATAAATGTTTTTTGCACAAATAGGTCATTTGCTCCTTTTAAAAAAATCTCTTTGGGACACAGACCTAGTAGTGGTATTGCTGGAACAAAGAGTATGCAGAATTTTACAGTCCTTTGGGCATAGCTCCAAATTCCTCTCCAGATTAATTGATCAGTGCCCAACTCCACTAAAAGTGCATTAGCACCCCAATTTTTCTACATCCTCTAAACACTTATCATTCTCCTTTTCTGTCATATTAGCCAATATGATAGGGGTGAGGTGGTACCTCAGAACTGTTTTAATTTGCATTTCTCTAATCAATAGCATTTTTATATGACTATAGAAAGCTTTGATTTCTTCATCTGAAAACTGCCTGTTCTTATCCTCTGACCTTTTATCAATTGGAGAATGAAGCCTTTCTACATCAATTGAAAGAGAGAGAGAGAGAGTGATTTTGCCATATTTGAGTATTCACTTACTTTGACATGCTCCATCAACAACTTTTATCTTATGAATCTCTAATTCATAGGTTCTGAATTATTCATGTACATTGTTGTAGATGACACAGTTTTCCTTAATAAGTAGGAGTCTCAGTCAACACCTGAAAAAAGATTGGAAACCAAGGTGTCCAGTACATTTGATGATGCTCTGAATGCTCTGGAGGCCAGTAGAGGACACATACATAAGACCATGGCAGAAGTGGGGGTTTCATCAATGTTGGATCTCTTATTGGCTCATTATCATACCCTTCTATTCTAACAACTGTAGCAAGAAAAGCAGATCCTGGAAAAGGCTCTTCTCTTGTTCAATGAAAACAGTATTATTTTTGCACTGGTTTTAATCATGCTTAATTAGTATTAAGGGAAAAATAGATATTCTAAAATACTTTTGTTTGTGTGCAGTTCAACTTTAATTATACTGTGTAATGCATGCAATGATGTACTCATATAGAACATTGTTTCTTTTATTGAATAGAGACAAAAATTGCTGATAGAGTTAAAATGGTGAAATATGAAGTGTTAAAAACTAAAAAAAAAAAGTTTAGTCTGTCCTTAACTGGAGTCTCCAGATACTTGACCACATGACCCATCCTCCTGGGGACAGACTCAACTATAGCTTCCTCTGCACTCCACCCCAATTAGCAGTTTCTATGGTTCTACTTCCTTAGCTACAGATTTCAGGGCCCCACTTTTATGAGATATAAAGTCCTTGAATGATTCAGGGACTTCATACAATCCCATGATAATCCAAAGGAGGGCTATTTAAGTGATCTTGCCTTTTCCTGTCATTCCAAAAGAACATGGGAATCTCCATAAGATAAAAGGTACGTGAGAACAGGGGATATTGGGCAGGCACACAAGTGAGAGAGATGAGAAAGAAAGCAATAATATATGCCAGGATGTTGGATCCTGGGAATAGAAGTGGACACAACTAGATATAAAGAATGTGGACTGGGAGGGAGGCAAGACATGAGGATGAATCTGTTTGGAGATGTCTCACAATCCTAGCAATGACCTCAATATGTTCTCACAAACAGTGACTAGGTCATTGCTCAGTCTTTTCACTCCTTGTCTTGATAAAAGTTAAGGCCAAAAGGACTTCAGACAAAGTGAACAAGTAGAATTAAAGAAAAATAATAAAAGGCCATGCCACATCATTCAATAAGTTTTTCCTTTCCTTTCCTTGCCATCCCTTCATATCCTTTCTTTTTCCTTTTTCTCTGTTCAACAGTTCCCTGTACTAGATTCGCTGATAGACAAGCTGGTTCTCAAGAGCACTTGGTAAGCTCTAACATGGCATGTGGCAGTGGTAGGAATGCTGGGTTAGTGAAGTTAGGGAGTGAAGAGATGACAGAGCTCAGTTGCCCATTTTTCTCTCAGTATCCAGCAGTGAGGTCTATCTTTGGGGAAGTGTCATGGTGATAGTATCATAAAGGAGTCTAACAGATGATAACTCAGAGTAAGATCACCAGAAGCATGATGAAAGAATAGTTTATATCAAGAATGCCCCCAAAGTCTCAGTTCAGTTTTAATCTTTAACAACTTTGGAAGTATAAAAACATATAAAAGCATAAACATAAAAAATAACATTTGAAAGATGACTAAAAATTTGAAAATATTGATATATTTCTCATTTAAATTCAACATAACCATTGTTTTATGCTGTACAGAACTCTAGTAAAATTTCAAATTGTAGAAAAACTTTCCTCAGTTGCAGCTCAGTGAGTGAAAGAATTGCTTTCGTAATCTTAGACTTAATATCATCCAGGAAGCAAAGTTTTGGTATATACATGACAGTTCTGCTATGACTACGCAAGAAAAAGTTTAATGAAGGTAGATCAGGTAACCAAGGTAGACAAGCAAGAAGAGCTCTTCTACTCATCCACTGGTTTGAGAAAGGCTCATCCACACGCTGTCACACACAGAATACATAATTATAGGATGTTCCATCTTGGTGAAATTAAAATGGAAAATTTACTATTCGAAATCTACAAAGGTAAATAAGTATGTAAGAAATTTAATCTTTCAAGCAATGATTTTGTCAGTTTGTAACATTTATATTTTTGAAGTCACTGAAGCTTAAAACTGCACTAAGACTTGTGAGAGAGAGAGAGAGAGAGAGAGAGAGAGAGAGAGAGAGAGTCCTATGCCTCCACTAACTATCCCTGTGACTTCTCAGATCCAAACCATTCTCCCAAACCATTACTTTTCTGTATATGGTGTAAGCTCCTTCAAAGCAGAGTCTATTCTATTTTTAAGCATTTTATCCCTAGCATTTAGCACAGTATCTGGCACCTGGTAAGTGATTAATAACTTTTTCCATTCATTCATTTATAGGTAAGATACATTTGATAAAATTTATCTGTTATCTACCAACTACGTCATCTATCCATTTATTTCTCTAGCTTTCAATCTTTAGTTGTCATCTAGCTATGTATTATGTCATGTCATATCATGTCATATCTATCTATATCCACCATGTCCTCCTCAATACTGCAATGATCCATGATTCCATTGGAGTAATTACTTCTGTTTTTATGAGTTGCTACGGACAGTTGTTTGGTGAGGGGTATCTCCAAGCTTAGCTTGGCTTATGTTATAGAGCGTCCTCAGGGTCATACTCGAAGCCTTTGCAGCATTTCAGGCCTGCCATCTTTGTTTTCCTTCTAGCGGAGTGCAAAGTAATCTCTATGTCACAAAGAGACACCAGAGGAGTACTTTAGGAGGATACACATACATACTAAAATACACACAAACACATGTGTGAACACAGTGATTATAGGGTAGAATATGGATATAGGAGATTTTTTTAATTTGAGGATATTTGCAAAGACATAAAGAAAGGACTCCAAACCTCTGGGTTTTAGGCCAGATCTAGTCAGTCAGTCATTAATCATCACTTGGCTTGATTCTGAATTGTCTGTTCAAGGGAAAATGGAGCAGCAGGACATGAGTATAGACCCATATACAATGTCTCATTCAGGAACCTATTTTGATCATTGCTTCTTTGTATGTGTTGTGCATAGGCCTATATATGTTGTTTCTCTCATTAGAATGTAAGTTCTTTGAAAACAGGGACTATTTTGCCTTTGTCTTCATAACTCTAGTGCTTAGAGTGATGACTATCACTGTCACTGTTACTTCTATCAGTAAGTATATGTTTATTAAAAGCTTATTGTGTAGACGTATCTATGTTGAAATTAGTTAAAATTTATGCATGTGTGTATATTTGTATATAGAGTATATATGTGTATGTATACATACATATATACATATATATGTATATGATTTTTAACTTCATTTCAACTTTCAAATAGTACAAGTTATTTGGACTTGAGACTATTTGAGGGATATTGAGGGCATTACATAGCCAGGTTAAATGCTGAATTAGTGTATGTAGGAAGAGTGACAGAGGTTTGAAGGTACACTGCTAGTGTCCAGAATACAAGGCAGGACCTTAGGCATTGGACTGCCCACAGTTTCAATGATTAGTTTAGTGATTTGGAATATAATTTAACCGATGGGATGAATTTGGAGATTGATTTATGCAATGGAAGAGCCAAGAGTTTTCCCTTGGCTCCTAGGTATTCCTCCATCAGGCTTCATCTTTTCCTTTATTGACCTTTTACTTATTGTCTTTAATTTTTTGGAGGACCCTTTAACTAGTCCTGTGCTTCCCCCAAACCACTTTCCCTGAATATGGAGGTGTCTATGAAATGTATATACAAGTTGGTCATTAAAGTTGGTTTATTCTTGACTTCTTAGCCTAGAATTCTAACAGAAAATTTAAATTTAATCTCCCCAGTGGTCACATGACCTCAATGGAGATTGTATGTATCTTTTGAATTCCCTCCAAGTGGCAAAAGCAGACCCTGTGTCTCTTTCTGTTTCAAAAGCTGTGACTCCAACTATATTGTCCAGTCCTGTCTGAGAGATGTGTCCAGTTTTCTACTCATCTCGGGTGATAGGTTAGTGAAATACTTTCAGCACAATAATTGGATAACATTTTCCGGCCCAAATTAGCATTGATATCCATTTTCTAGGGTTCCTTTGATTATTTATTTCAGAGTAATCTGGGACAAGAGAAGGAAGGATATTAAAATCTTCCCAAAGTCCTAGAATTCTACTCCTATAATAGAGTATTTTGTAAATAGGACAACTATAGAGCAGATAATTCCCATAAAAATTAAGATGAACTTTATGTCATTGTAGAAAGAAATTGGACCTGGAGGTCCATACATTTATTATGCTGGTCATCACTAACACCTCTGAAGAGCCCTTCTACTTCATCCTTTCGGGTATTCCAGGTTTTGAGGCCATCCACATTTGGATCTCCATCCCCTTCTGCTGCCTATACATGATCTCCATCTTGGGCAATACCACCATCCTGGCTGTCATTCAGATAGAGCCCTCACTTCACCAACCCATGTACCTGTTCCTTTCCATGCTGGCACTAACTGACCTGGGCCTCACCCTCACCACACTGCCCACAGTCATGCAACTACTGTGGTTCAATGTCCGGGAGATCAGTTTTGAGGCCTGCTTTGCCCAGTTTTTCTTCCTTCATGGCTTCTCCTTCATGGAGTCCTCAGTGTTGTTGGCCATGGCTTATGACCGTTTTGTTGCCATCTGCCGCCCACTCCACTATGCCTCTATTCTCACAGAGAGTGTCATTGGCAGAATTGGGATAGCCATCATCATTCGATGTGTTTTGGCAGTGCTCCCCTCACTATTCCTGCTCAAACGTCTGCCCTTTTGTCACTCGCACCTCCTCTCCCATTCCTACTGCCTCCACCAAGACATGATCCGCTTGGTATGTGCTGACACTCGGGTCAACAGCTGGTATGGGTTTGGACTGGTATTGCTTATCATTGTGCTTGACCCCCTACTCATTCTGGTCTCCTATGGGTTAATCTTGCACAGTATCCTTGGCACTGCATCCCAGGCTGAGAGATTTAAGGCTCTCAACAACTGCCTGTCCCATATTCTAGCTGTACTCATCTTGTATGTGCCCATGGTAGGGCTGTCCATGGCTCATCGCTTTGCCCGGCATGCCCCGCCACTGGTTCATGTGATCATGGCCAATGTCTACTTGCTATCACCCCCTGTGATGAACCCCATTATCTACAGTGTGAAAACTAAGCAGATTCGCCAGGGAATCCTCCGCCTCCTTTATCGAGGGACGATGCACTAGGGATTAGGGTAAGAGGGCTATCAGACTACTTGGAATATATGGTGATGAGGTAGAACAGAGGACATAGCCAGCAAGTTATTAAAATACTGGGGTTGTGGGAAAATCCATGGCAATAGGAACCCCAATGTAGTGGTAAAAATAATTTTGTGAAATGACAGAAAGCATAAATGTCAGGAGGAAACTTTCTTTCCTAACACAAGAAAGATGTCCCTAGCAATATTTCAACAGAGTGGTCAATGACATGGAAATCTCCCAGAATTATGGTTTTGATCAGTGTAGAAGCCTCCCTGAGATAGGAGTAGTGCCTTTTATACCACACCATCATAGACTAAAGCTAGAAGGGACTTGAAAAGCCACCACGTCTAATGTCCTAATTTTTACAAATGAGGAACTGAGGTTAGGGAGTTAAGTCACGGGGAAAGTGAGTTATTTGTTTGGGAGACAGCTCAGCTATTGGCTCTTACACAGGTGATGTCACACAAGAGTTTAGCTCCTGGGTGTTGCACAGCACATAAGGACAAATAAGAGAATCCCAATGTATGAGTTCAAGCACAGAACACTATGAATCTTAAACTGAGATAGACCTTCTATTCAATCTCTGGTTATGTAAACAATTCTTCTTTAAAATTACTTGTTGGTTCCAATCCATCCCTTGAACAAAAGGATCTAGTAAGCGACATTTCCCCTAGGATAGGGTGGCAGACCCCTAGCAACAACATATAGATATCAACAAGTAGAAATCAGTGGAAATACAACTAGTAAGTTCTGTCTTTTTCTCACTTACCCCAGTGGACTCATCACTGTAGACTCAGGGATGCAATGTGATAGTAATACAGATTCATCACAAAATCCTGCCCTTGGTGAAAGGAATTTGCTGTGAAGGGAGGAAGAGGGACAAGGTTAAAACAATATCAAAACTTTTATCAGGCCTGGGCTTGATCTATTACAGGTATGATGAAACAGGATTATCTCAGTTCTATTTGATCCCAAGAAAACTTCATAAATGGCCTTGGAATGGCCAATTCATTCACTAAAACTCCACATTATTCAAGAGGTATCATACATAGGTCTTCACTCTAACAGTTAACAAACTTTTTTTTCTTTCATAAAACCATTACTGATGTTCCCAGATATATATCCATATGAAACTAACTAAAATTTAGGAGGTATTTAACAGCACTCCACGTGGGTAGCTCTTGACGATTTATCTTTTTTGGTTTATTTTTGACCCAAAGCCCATGCATTTGAAATTTTGATCAAATTAAAATGGTGGTTCCAAACTGCATACTGTTTGATTCAGCAATACCACTACTAGGTCTGTATCCCAAAGAGATCATAAAAAAGAGAAAAGGACCTGTATGTGCAAAAAAAATTTACGGCAGACCTTTTTGTGGTGGCAAAATAAATATTGGAAATGGAGGGGATGCCCATCGACTGGGTAATGGATGAAGAAGCTGTGGTATATGAAATAATGGAATACTATTGTGCATTAAGAAATGATGAGCAGGCAGATTTCAGAAAAACCTGGAAAGACTTGTACAACTGATGCAAAGTGAAATGAGCAGAATCAGGAAAACGCTGTACCCAGTATCAGTAACATTGTGTGATGATCAACTATGAATGACTCAGTTCTTAATAACACAATGGTCCATGACAAGTACAAAGGACTCATGAAGGAAAATGCTATCTACATCTACATAAGGAAATGATGGACTCTGAATGCAGATCAAAGCATACTATTTTCACTTTATTCTTTTTCATTTTTTTCCCTTTTGATCTGTTTCTTTTTTCACAACTGTGACTAATATATTTTACATGATAGCACATATAAAACCTATATCAAATTGCCTACCATTTTTGGAAAAGGGGAGGGGAGGTAAGGAGGAAGAAAAATTTGGAACTCAAAATCTTTTAAAAATGAATGCTAAAAATTGTCTTGACATGTAATTGGGGAAAAATAAAATACTATTTAAAAAAATAAAATGTGTGAATGTGCAAACTAAATTTAACCTTAGTGATGATGATAACCCTAAAACTTTTAAAATAATAAAAAATTGATCTAGGATAAAAATTATTAAAGTTTCTTGTTTCCATACACAAACATTCTTGCAGAGCTGATTTTTTTCCTTACTTTGAAAAAAATTAGATAAACATATAATTTAACCAAGTCTGAAAATTCTGGACAGGTAACCTGTTTTCACAGAACTTCTCGTGAATAATGAGACTTTCCAAAATCATTTGTACTTTTTTTTTTTGGTGAGGCAATTGGGTTAAATGACTTGCCCAGGGTCATCTAGCTAGTAAGTTCTAAGTGTCTGAGGCTAGATTTGAACTGAGGTCCTCCCAACTCCAAGGCTGGAGCTCTTTATCTACTGTGCCACCTCGCTGCCCCTGTACTTTTCCAAAAATCAACCTAATTCTTAACACAAGAAGTTTGGGATTGCAACATCTGTGAGATTCAGCAACAAACAAACAAATGAATGAATATATAGATAAATAAAATAATGTCTCCCCAAACCTCTGAGAGTAGTTTAGGTCAGCCAGTCATTTAGTCAACAAGCATTTATTAATGTTTGGGGAGGACTAGCACCTCTGGTGTGAGAGCCTTGCTGAGCCTTCAGGATTGCTCATCTACCTTTGGTGTCTACCTTCATGTGATACATGTAAGAGAGGAGCTAGAGGTAGAAGGCATCTTAGTGATCTCAGATATTGAGGAGAAGATCAGAAAGAGCTGTTACTGAATGGGCTTTTTTTTCAGTAAAATATGAGGCAAGTGTCTCTTCTGAGAAAGTGAAGGAGTGGGAGCTGTGGGAGATTTGAAGAAGAATAAAAATATTTGGAAAATCTGCTATTGTGAATACAGGGATGTTAAAGGATATCCTGGACCCTAAAAGCACAGTTGAGATTATGGAACATAAATCTGTAGTGGACCTAGTCAACACTATGTTGTGATTTTCTCCAGCTTCATTTAGGAGCAAGTGAAATAAACAGTAAGGGAAGGCAGGAGATGGTGATCGTAATCCAAGGTTGAAGCTTGGCAGGACATGTCCAATAATAGATTAAAGAAGAATAGGACTTGAGAGAAGAGGATAGTATAGAGTTAATTGGGTTACGAAGAGGTCAAGTTATAGAAGGGTGAAGAGTGTACCCAGGTGATGTCCTGGAGAAAAATCTAAGGATACGAGGGTTTAAATGTCATAGTGAGGATGAAGAACAGGATTTGAGGTTTCAAGGCAGGGGGAAGGGTAGAAAGACAACAGACTGACATAAGATCAGGGAATTTCAGAGTTCATAAACATCGAAGTTTGTGGGTAATATCAAGATTAAGGATATGGCCATCTTTGTGCAGCTGAGGTAGGGTGAAAGTGTAGGTTACATGAAATGAATAAATTGATGAAATGTGAGTTTAGGATGTGTGAGAAAGTATCAAATGCATGTTGCTTTCCCCTAGTATGGGGGCAAGAGTTGGGAAATAAAAAAAGACTGTGAGCCAGACATTAAATCATTGAGGAAAGAAGGAAAATGTTGTGGAGACTCATAGATAACATAATTGGTGATAAGTAAAGACTAAGTGAATCTCAAAGGAGCAGAGATGACTGAATAATGGAATCAGTGGGAGAGCCTGGATGTGGCAATGAGGAACAAGAAGTAATTCAGCTTCTCCTATGTGAATCAGCAATTCTGGAGTATGACTGAAAGTATAATCAGTGCTGGAAAGAATGACCAGGAAGTTAAGCCATCAAGAAGTATCAGTGCTAAAAGAGGGAAGGAAGGGAAAAGAAAAAGGTTTAAGATGAAAGCAAGTTTACTACACATGAATAGGTATACCTGGGAATACAGTGAACAGGGTGGGTAACTTTAGTGGAATTAGATGGGAGAGGAGGATTAGATTGAGGAGTGCTGGGAATAAGGGAGTAGGCAGTGGAGCTAGAAAGAAAGGGTTTTCAATAATGGAAGCCAAGGGTTCAGAAGCACTGGGAGGGTGTGGTAGGATGGGAGTGTATAAATGGTTTGGCCTCAAAGTGAAATCCTCTCAAAACATTAGGCACTGTAAATCTAGAGAGGTGTTGGAAGTTGGGAGTGGGACTAGCTCAATCAAGGGACTGGTGGAGGCAAAAGGGTGGGCTGGTATTTCCCTGGCAGTATCCAGTAGGAAATCACTTCAGAAGGAAGTCATCTGTGGGAAGACAATATTTCTGATCACCCCAACACAGTTAAAACAGTATAATGCCTTTCCACTCAACTCATTGTACAGAGTTAAACACTGATTACATGAATGCTTTTCTGTTACATAAAATTCAAGTTTAAAAAAATCATTATTTTTTTAAATTCTTGTGCCTCACAAACTGTTTCCCTCTCAAAGTAGATGTTTCTGAGGGAGAAGGGAAAGGAATGGAAATGAGTAGAAGAAATGGGCACTGTCTTTGGCCTGATATATTAGTACATCAATTCCATAAATCTCTACTTTAACAATCCAGGGAGCAGGGGATGGGGAAAGGTATACCAAGAATACCTCAACTAGAATATTTCAACACATACAAACAGCCAAAACTCATTCACAGTTAGGGAAACTGAAGGAATGAAGGTACCCTAGTATGAAATGTTGACTAAAATGTAAAGAATGGAGGCAGAGAGTATTAATTTAGTGATGATGGCAATGATCACTTTTATATTTCATTTTAAGGCCTACCTAACACTTTTTTCATGGCCAGAATCTACAAACTTTGATCAGGGAAAACTAGACAGTTTCATAAAACAAAACAAAACAAAAACCACACACATAAAAACAACAGATCCAGTAAATCTTAGAAAATTAAATGAGGTAAATTTATAGCAACTCAATGGCAATCCAAGTTTACATCAAGAGTAAGAAATTCATGGAACTTATTCAGTGGTGGCACAAACAAATGGTTTTAGAGGGTAGAGTCCACTGAATAAAAGACAAAGTCATAAGTGACTGAGAGTATTTTGTACATTAGAGGTTGCATTTCCTTTGGGAC